GGGGTGGGAACCCCGGGTATCATGGGTTTGTTGATGACAGCTGCCCTATGAGTGGGGGGGGGGGATTGGGGGGTCTGGAGAGGTTATAGAGGTTTTGGGATGGCAACAGGTATGGCAGTGAATGTGAAAAAAATCAAAGCTCATGAGATTGGGTGAATGGGAGGGGCCAGGAGGGCGGGGGTGGGGGGGGTGAGGTGGAGGGGTCGTGGCCCGGGTGAAAATTTGTGGAGTTGTGGTATATAGGTAATGCTCAAAAGGCGAGGGGGGTTTAAATTCAAAAGGTGTGGTAGATAGAATATTGGGAAGATTGTCATGATTGCGGCCGACACATCTCACGCTACACCAGAGGGTCATTGTGGTCAATGCGCCTTTGTACAGCAAAATATGGCATGTGGCAGCTTTGTACCCTTTGGTGAATGGGGATGTCCGGAGATTGTTGAGCAGAGTTTTCCGTTTTATCTGGGGTTCGGGATGCGATTGGTTGAAAAGGGAGGTGGTAACACTTCCGGTGGCTTCGGGAGGGCTGGGTTAATTCATTTGGAAAGAAGGTTGAAGTGTGTATATGTGAAACATGGGTTGCTAAGAGCTCAGGGAGAGGGGAGTGGAGGGTAGGGGATGTTGCAGGGAGATCTTCGGAGATGGTGGAAGGGACAAGATTTGAGAGATGATGAGGAGTTGTTACGTCTACTGATGATGGTCAGAGATCCGAGAAACATGCGGGTAGGGTCCATGGAGAGGAAGATATGGCCTAGGGTGGTAGTGGCAACGGAAGGAGTGTACCCAATGTACGCATGGGAAGACATTTGGGGTCGATTAAAAGGGTTACGCATCCGGCCACGCGTGAGGGAGGTAATGTATAGGTTTCTTCACGGAATATTGCCGGCTGGGGAGTGTCAGGTTTGTGGGGTAGATGAATCAGCTTTTCATGTAGATTATTTTTGTGAAAGCCTAGGGGCTGTGTGGGAATGGTTAGGGAAAGTAATCCGGTATGTGGGGGGGAAAGGGTTGTCGGTTTTGAGAGCGCTCAGTTTAGATGTAGGTGGAGTTGGGGTAAAGGTTCAAAGGGCAGTGGCTTACTTAGTGGTTGATTTTGTGTATATATCATGGGCAATGAGAGACAAAGGGGCGGAGGAACGTAGGATGGCCATAGCAGCAGCATCCTTTTATAGAACAATGTGTCGCAACAGGGAAATATATGGTAGGAGGTGGGAGAGGGATTTCTCGGAGGGTACAGGGGATTTCTTTTGAGGGATTTATGGTCTTTATAAGCGGTCAGGGGCATGAACGGGCTGGCCTTCCCAGGGGGGGGGGGTGTTGCAGAGGACGATTGTGTGAGTGTGTGTGGAATTGTGTGAGGAAGGATGTTGAGGTGATATCAATGTGATATTCAATGTAATGTCTTGGTGTTATTGTGAAACACCGATGATTATAATTTATCTAAGGATTCTTCATGTTTTGTAAGGATGTACATAAGCATGTTAGTATATAAGCATATTTTAACCTGTAATTATACATGTCTACCTATATATGAGCAATGTAACTTGTCATAATAATGAGGTTTCATACCTGTTTTTTAACTAGGGGGAACGTTCTGGTATTGTATATAATGTAAGATCTTGCCTGGGGTGTTTTTGCTTATAAAATTGTTACAGATGTTTTTTTCACATTTTCATTATATATGTTTTAAGTGAATGAGTTTTTGATCTTGTGTATAGCCCGGTGAAACTGGACAGTTTTTCACTGGGGGGGGGGGGGGGTAGGGAGTTTAAGTAATCTCTGCAATAGCAGGTCATGTGATACACATGTCATATCAATTTTTGATGTCTAATGTTGTCCATTCTCTGTAGGATGTGATGTATAGATTATCTCCGGCAGTGTAAATAATCTGTCTGCAGGAGGGAATAATGTGTAAATTTATTTATTTTTTGTGGTAGGTTTACGTATATAGCGTGTTTTTAGGGTGGGTATATAATAAGACGCTAATTACCATCAAATGACTGTTGGTGGTTATGAGTGGTGACGGCCAGACACAGTTACTAGGCATGTGGGGGGGGGGGGTTGAAGTGTCAGCGATAGTGTATTAAACCCCCACCAAGCACGATATAATTATTACCATAGGGTATAATGAGGGTAGGGTGGATTGTGTTCTATGGTGGATGTGAGCCATCAGGTTCACACATTCCTTGTATTATAGTGTCAGCCGTTTAGCTGGCTGGATTGTGTTTATATATTTTGTTATTGAAGTTTTTAATGCTTTTACAACTGTATAAGTATAAGAGATTTGTCACTGTGTATCTAAGGTGAAAGTGGCACGTTTTCATGGGGGGGGAGTGTAAGCATTACTGGGTGGGTTCTATCGTTGTTTATATGACCACCTCTTCATGTGAAGCACAGTACGTACAAGCGGTGTTCATGTGAAGCACAGTACGTACAAGCGGTGTTCATGTGAAGCACAGTACGTACAAGCAGTGTTCATGTGAAGCACAGTACGTACAAGCAGTGTTTGATTCGAGTGCAGCAGCCAGTTCTGTCATTATATATGTGCTTCTTCAGTATTTGTGTAGTCACAGTTGATTATTGTTCACTGCCTGTATCTTGTTACATATTGATTATGTACCAATATATTTTTGTACCTGAGTTTTAAATAAAATATAAAAAAAAATTCTTTCAATAATAACCCTACCATACACTTTTCCTGGTATACTCAGTAAACTAATTTTTCTACAATTTTTACAATCTCTTTTGTCCACCTTCCCATTATATAAAGGAATTATACATGCTCTCTGCTAATCCATAGGTGCCTTCCCCTCATTCATACATTTATTAAACAAAAGTACCAACCACTCCAACACTACATCCCCCCTGCTTTTAACATTTCTGTCATGATCCCGTCAGTTCCAGCTGCTTTACCCCCTTTCATTCTACGTAATGCCTCAAGCACCTCCCCCAAACTCACATCCTGCTCTTCTTCACTCCTAAAAGATGTTATACCTCCCTGGCCAGTGCCTGAAATTACCGCTTTCCTTTCTTCATCGACATTTAAAAGTTCCTCAAAATATTCCTGCCATCTACCCAATACCTCCATCTCCCCATCTACTAACTCCCCTACTCTGTTTTTAACTGACAAATCCACTCGTTCCCTAGGCTTTCTTAACTTGTTTATTTTACTCCAAAAATTTTTCTTGTTTTCATAAAAAATTCTTGACAGTGCCTCTCCCACTCTATCATCTGCTCTCCTTTTACACTCTCTCACCACTCTCTTCACCTTTCTTTTACTCTCCATATACTCTGCTCTTCTTTTAACACTTCTGCTTTGTAAAAACTTCTCATAAGCTATCTTTTTCTCTTTTATCACACCCTTTACTTCATGATTCCACCAATCACTCCTCTTTCCTCCTGCCCCCACCCTCCTATAACCTCAAACTTCTGCCCCACATTCTAATACTGCATTTTTAAATCTATTCCAACCCTCTTCAACCACCCCCCACTACTCATACTTGCACCAGCCCACCTTTCTGCCAATAGTTGCTTATATCTCACCCAAACTTCTTCCTGCTTGTTTTTTCCATTTTCCTCTTGTCCCATCTACCTCTTTCTCTAACTGTAGCTACAACTAAATAATGATCCAATATATCAGTTGCCCCTCTTTAAACATGTACATCCTTGAGCCTACCCATCAACCTTTTATCCACCAATACATAATCTAACAAATTACTTTCATTTCGTGCTATATCATACCTTGTATATTTATTTATCCTCTTTTTCATAAAATATGTATTATATTACCGAACCTCTTGCTACACATAGCTCAATTAAAGGCTCTCCATTTTCATTTACCCCTGGCACCCCAAATTTACCCACTACTCCCTCCACAACATTTTTACCCACTTTAGCATTGAAATTCCCAACAACGAGTACTCTCAAACTTGGTTCAAAACTCCCTACACAGTCATTCAACAGTTCCCAAAACCTCTCTCTCTCTCTTCTACACTTTTCTCTTCTCCAGGTGCATAAACGCTTACTATAACCCACCTCTCACATCCAACCTTTATTTTACTCCACATAATCCTTGAATTAATACATTTATACTCCCTCTTTTCCTGCCATAGCTTCATAAAACAACCACTTCATAAAATAAGTAAACTATGTGTAAGTAAATGCAAAATACAAATGAATATCTTACACTAGAACTGTGACACACTATTGACTGCAGGATCAAACATCGTCGACACAGATAAATGAGAGAAATCTTCTTTGACCAGTAGGAGAGTGAAAGATCCAGAAAGCATTTTCATTACCTCTGCCCACCCCACAAACCACATATTTGACACCAGCAGAACTCTAGAACTCGAGAACGATTCACAAATCATTCCCACACATGTAGCACAAAGA